CCCACCACACACACACACACACACACACACACACACACACACACACACACACACACACACACACACACAAACCATTGATCAGTTTTTATTTTAATTATTGACAAAAAGTGTAAATATAAATCTTAATTTATTAATTTATAAAAAAAATATACATTAAATCATACAATTATAAAATGGTAAATCTTAATTTATGAAAAACACATTAACAATTTTTCATCTTAACTTTTCAAAAATAAAAAAATAATAAATGGTGACAAAATAAAATAAAATGTATGAACTTTTTGGTTAAATGTATACTTTTTAGTTATAAAAATTTGAACGTAAATACAATATACTAAATCTTGCATAGGTTCTGATGAGGGGGTTAAAAACAGGACAGAGAATAGCCTAATACTTCTAAATTATGATGTTTTTTGATGTAAAAATCTTGATAACATTATAAGTGCACTAGGGCTGTCAAAATGGCTGAAAAACTAAATTCGAATTTTGTACTTAAATATTATCAAAATTCTAATTATATTTGAATTTAAAATGCATAATTTCAGTTAGGGTGAAGAAAAGCTTTTGGCTTCTCTCCTGAAGAGGGCGCATCGAGCAAAATATTACTAATGCACTTTATTCAAAGCATGAGATAAAATTACTATCTGTGAAAAAAAAGTGCATAATTTTTAAGTTGCTTAAACAACTATAAACAAAACAGCATCATGTATGTATGCCAATCACACAGAGTACATTTCTCATTTAAAAACATGAGATGCAGTGGGATGGGGAAAAACCGGCATAAAATCTCGAAATATGTTTTTTTTCTTTCAAAGTTGAACTTGCATTAATTTTGCATGGCTTTCTAAACATGCGGCTCTTTTGTGCGAGACGCGAGTGCAACGGTGATAGATGTCCCTCTAGAACAGTGTTTCCCAACCGGGGTGCCGTGTAAAAAATCTTTTTTAAATATTTTTAAGTTGCTAAAATGTTCAAAAAAGCATCTAGTATATAATATACATTTCTGATGTCGCCAATAATTAGAGATGCACCGAAATTTCGGCTGCCGAAAATTAGTTCAGCGCTCAGGTTTCACTTTCACGTGGTGTGACGCTCTGCATATTATCTCGCTCTATGCGTGTGTGTGCTCCGCTCAGTCGCTCCACTCGTATACCGTTCATGCGAATCAGAACAGCAAAGTCCACTCACAAACTGAGCCGACAGGAAACATGGATGTAGTACAGTATTGTTTCTGTCTGCAATAGCCCTACTGTGCTGTAACATGGTGTGGTATATGGGCAACTCTGGTAACGCTGCCCTCTCATTCATTGATCTGCTAAC